CAAAAGCGAGTAACATTTCTAGAGAATTTAGAACTGATTAGGAATTTAGTATGTAGTAAACTCCTAGTTATAACTGGAATGTTATACTCACATAATTGGCAATTGCTGGACAGGTAAAGAATTTGGGAGGACACAAACATTGAAATTACAGGGTGAATGATTTGTTCAGTGGGTATTAGGAAAGCAAGAAAGGAAGCCAATATCTTGTTCCACAGAGAAAGAGGCATAAGAAGGAAACAAAATGGATGTGAAAATATAAAATTAAAAGAATGCTACTTTTTGACCCAAGAAATACTCTTAAAAAGTATTTCTCTAAAGGAAATGGAGGAATTAATTTTTTCATAAATTGGAATACTCTAGAGATAAGGTCGGAATAGGCTATATTTCTTCCAATAGTATTTAATTTAAAAAATACTGATACCGTACAAACTGTATTCTAGGTAATGTTCTAAATACTTTAAAGTTTGATTTCATTTAGTCTTCAGAACACTTTATAATATACATATTATATATAATGTATAGAGTGGAAAATAATGCATAGAGAAATTAATAATTGCCTAAGGTCACGTAGCTAGTGTGTAGCAGGAGTGCGAAGGCTGCTCTTACACTGTCCTCTAGAGTGGATCTTCAGTAAAATGGTCTGTACCTGGTTCTGCCAAGGACACACCTAATTTTTATAGAGGGAGTGAGGGAAGAACATTGGTGAGGACCTTCTTCCACTACAACTCACCATTATTATCAGCAAGTATCAATTACTGTATCTCTCATGTCGGTACTTCAATTTCCTCCATTTGCCTTGCGCTTGAATAATCATGTCTCACTCTAGTATATGCTTCCATCTACGCTTTCCTGGGTACAATTTCTTTAGCATCTTAGTGCGATATGGTGAGTTTCATGAAAAATAGAATGGCGATGTCGTGGAATTCCGACCAATTCCTGAGTCCTTTCATGATCTTAGGGTTATTAGGAAGGGGTGATCTACACTGCATATTTGAGTTAACTTGTTGCTCAAACTAGGTTATATGACTCTTGAGAAAACTCCCATGTTTTCACTAAGAAACATACTGCATCTGTTAGCTACATACTTTGCATTTAAAACTCACATCAAGCTAAAAGCAAGCTTAAAATCTTTAATCTGCCAGTGAGAAATGTGATGCTCAGAGAAATAATTTTTGCATGTTTTCATCATTTTGTAGGTGTTTTGATCAAGGCAGGAAATACTTGATATTTTCATGAAAAAAAAATCCTGGCCATTTCTCACGTATCGTATTCTCCACAGAGAACATATTCATCATGGTGTGGGACAGTCAGGAGAATCAGACCTTCGACGCAGACTTCATCTTGCTGGGAGTCTTCAGTAACAGCCCCACCCACACCTTCCTCTTCGCTCTGGTCTTGGGCGTCTTCTCAGTGGCCTTCATGGGTAACACTGCCATGGTTCTCCTCATCTGCCTGGACTCCCAGCTCCACACCCCCATGTACTTCCTCCTCAGCCAACTGTCCCTCATGGACCTCATGCTCATCTGCACCACTGTACCCAAGATGGCCTTCAACTACTTGTCTGGAAAGAAATCCATCTCTCTGGCAGGTTGTGGGACCCAGATATTCTTCTATGTGTCCCTGCTTGGAGCAGAATGTTTCCTGTTGGCTTCGATGGCCTATGATCGGTATGTTGCCATTTGCCAGCCACTACGATACCCAGTTCTCATGAGCCAAAAAATCTGTGGTCTGATGGCTGCTGCTTCTTGGATTCTTGGCTCACTTGATGGTATCATTGAAACTGCGGTCGCGTTGTCCTTCTCGTATTGTGGCGCCCGGGAAATACCTCATTTTTTCTGTGATGTACCCGCCCTCCTTACTCTCTCGTGCGATGATACTTTGATGTTTGAAAGGGTGATTTTTATTTGCTGTGTAATTATGCTTCTCTTCCCCGTAGCAGTAATCGTTGCTTCTTACACTTGTGTCATCCTGGCTGTCATTCACATGGGGTCTGGGGAGGGTCGCCGCAAAGCTTTCGCTACGTGTTCCTCCCACCTCATGGTGGTGGGAATGTACTATGGAGCAGCCATGTTCATGTACATGCGGCCCACATCTTCTCACTCACCCGCCCAGGACAAGCTGGTGTCGGCCTTCTACACCATCCTCACCCCCATGCTGAATCCCGTCATCTACAGCCTCCGCAGCAAAGAAGTGGCCAGAGCATTCACAAAGATATTAGGGAAGGGCAAGTCTGGAGAGCAAAGTGACTAATTATTTGCTTTTTTCTCTGTGTACTCGGCTTTACACTTAAATTTATGTATCAAACCAACACAATCCAGCACCCAATATTTACCCACTTTTTGTAGGCAATCACATAAGATTAAGAAACTGAAAAAAAAAAACTGTTTCCTTTCTTGCTTGTTCAAATAGTTCTTATTTTTTTGTTTTTGTTAGTTGAATGTACGGCTATAAGTAAATATCTATGCAAAAAATGCACAACTGTATACTTTGTTGTTTTTTTTTTTTTTTTTTT